GCACTCTTCCATCAAAGCTTCTGCTATGTATGGGGGCAGCCAGCTTGTACGCAGGGGCATTGGCTTCAGCATGTGTTCACTCGCAATCTACCAACCGGATACAACATCTCAAGCGCAGCTGTACTGGATTCTGGCCAACACCTGCAAGTCTACTGCTGAGCTCTTGCTAAAGGCTCCAACGTGACACTGTTTGGACGCAACATCCACAATGCGTAGGATCGTGCTGGTGCAGAATCCCGGGAAAATTGGAAGAATCGGCACGACTTCCAATTTTCGCAACTGCAACGAAGACCTGAAAATCAAACCCCTCAAGCCCTCGAAGCTCACACACCTGCAAAGAATCAAACTCTTGACCGACACAAGCCCTGCAGACGCAGCTCCCAAGAGCACGGCGGCGCAGCTTGCCAGGATCCCTAGTCCCATTGCCGCGGAGTAGCAATTCAGTTAGGTTGCGATAGGTCAGCCTGAAAACCACACATGGAGAAAGGCTGGCTCCAACTCTAAGTCGGGTTGCGACTTATGCTTGGCATCCTCCTAATCTGGGAGTGAATACCATCGCATAGAACTGCAAGTGCTGTGGGGCACTGTCTGTGGGAGATGGCAGGACAAGCTACGTGAATGCTGGACCTGCTGCATGCTTCAAGCATGCAACTGAAGCCTGAGCAGTAGCCTAGACAATGAAGCCTCAATTCCAAACCGCACACCCTGACAGGTACCCCGACCAACCTGAGCCCACATGGAAGGGAGCGTACAAACCACGCGGAGCCTCAGGCTCTGATTGAGAGCCAGAGCACGGCTGCGGCGGAACATTTCAGGTTTAAGATTTAGGGGACAGGGACTTTTCTGGGCTAGCTGAGGATTAAAAAGATACTACGGGTTCAAGGACCAAGGTGGAGGAAACCATGCTTTTAGGCCAAAGTCCCCAACGCCTGAACGGGTGAACGGCAGAAGTTGTAGGCTCCAAGGCCACCGGCCGTCAACCAAAGAAAAAATAATGCCCATAGCTTTAGTACAATATGCGTCCTATTTTAGGGATGATAGAAGGATGGATGATTCTAGGGAGAGATGGCCCACCCCCTTCAGCACCGGTGGAGCGGGGTCAAAGGGTATGCAGTGCCTGGCTTCCGTAAATGCGAATCAACTCGTTACTCTTCCGCTTGAGGGAGAATGCATAACCAATACAGGTCCCATTCCAAAGATAAACCCTAAGCCCTTTCTAGCCCCCCCTAAACCCTAAGCCCTAAACCCTAAACCCCAAACCCTAAACCCTAAACCCTAACCCCAAACCCTAAACCCTAAACCCTTTCTAGGCCCCTACTTCCCCACCTTCGGCTCTTGCCCTCAACATCCTGCACTTACTCATTGTGCATGACCTCAACTTGGAGACCCAGGGGACCTACTTATATGGGGGTTTCCTAAAATTAGGGGTACCTTTCTGGGGTCCCCATAATAAGGATCATAGTATTTTGGGGTCTATATTGGGGTCCCCCTATTTTGGGAAACGACCATATCTGGGATTATAGCCTTACTTTTAATTTGGGTAACCCCTATAAGCTCATTTAGGGGATGATAAGTGGGGTTATAAGTCTTTAATCCTAAGAAGGGCTGGCCTGGATTCCTTCGTTGTTTACTCTCGCGACCACAGATCTGTCCCCTTGACAAAAATCACCTGCCAGCAAGCCCTGTTGATAAGCGAAGATCCTTGGGCTGGAGGTCTGAGAGACTCAGGGTCTCGGGTTCAAGGTTGTGAGCTTCGAGCTCAGAATCTCAGAGGGTAACTAAAAGTCTGAGCTGATGACAAAGTACTGCCGGGAAGACACGTTACAACTAAGCTCACACCGTAATTGGACAGCCAATGCCCCTAACCCCTAGGCTTCTAGACATTTCTGCGAACCCGGCCCTGACCATGGGCCGAACTGCACACACCTGTTTGAGTTCCTGAAGATTAACACCCACAACTCCTTCAACTCTAAACCGCACAACTGCCAGGCGGCTCGATATCCTGTTGTTTTCCTTCCTCGCAGGCCGGCAGAACTGTCTACCTGCATCAAGATTTGAAGGCTAGTGCAAAACAGTTCGGCACCAAGCTTTGGGAAACCGAAAAGTTGTGAATTTGAGGGCTGCGAGACTTGGGTCAAGTTGAGGGATGGGTGGTGTGGATTCAAGGATCTGGTTTCGACATAAAAAATTAAGGAGGTTTCTGAAGGTTTAAACCTTTTCGTCTTCACAAAGCTGGCCTCAACCAAGCTTCCCTCTGCCTACTCATACCGCATGCCATATGCCATACCTGAAAGCACGTTCACGTACAGCAAATTGCAAGATGTAGCTCCAAATATTGTGGATGACAGCCAAGCTTCAAGCTGTAGCTAAGAATCTACATGGATCATCCAGCTGCAGTGGCCTAGCAGGACATGTCCAAGATGTGGATGGAAACAGAGGCGCAGAAAGGGTTCAATGTCGCGATTTGTGGCAAGGAGACTCGTGTTGCAGGTGATTTAGATCAACTGCTCCGGCCAAGTCTTCACGATCCCTAAGCAGACCATGTCTGTGGCCCAGACATCAGACTGTCAGGGCTTGCGGGTGCATGTTGCTGGCAATACTTTTGTCCTCTGCAAGATTCTTCATTGTAAGATAACCGGACAGCTGGACGACTTTGGCTTTTCCTTTTGTTGTGCAGAATTGTGCATGTGCGGCATTCTTGGCAGCGTTCTCGCTGAGATGTTCAGTGAGAAGTTTACCCGCGAAATCCCGCGCGACGAAGAAGGCCGCTTCTTCCTGGTATTCAACCCACAGCCTGGCTTTCAGGGAGCACACATAAACTGGCTTGTGCAACCAGCATTCCTGGTGCTGTGTGTGATGGAACTGCCCAGGTGATGATAGGAATCTCACTCAGCTTGCCGACATGTGATGGGTTCCCTATGTGATCCGGCACCTAATGTTTAGGGTACTCAGCAAAGAACATGATTTCTCTACAGCACCATAAACGCTAAGCCCCTGCATAAACATCCCTACATGATATTAGGCGACTCAGGGGCTAATGATTGGGCTATAACTGCAGTGATGATTCGCTTTTTAATATGACCGTGAACCTCTGAGCATACCCCTATAGATCCCTAGACCCTATACCCTTCTAGATCCCCATCTCCCCCTGCCCCAGTGCCTGTCAGGCGAGGCGGAGCATCGCCGAACTGATGGAAGCTACTTTCGTTTTCAGTGTTTAGGATTTGGGGTTTGGGGTTTGGGGTCCAGGGTTTCAGGCGCAGGGCTCCAGCTGTATGGTGGTTACCGAAGCAGAAAAAACAGAGGGAACATGGGGATAGCAAGGAATTGCTTGAGGGAACAATCCATACCTCCATTTCCCACTAACCTTCTGAGAGGGCAGAATCAAGATGTAGAATTATGCGGGTGCCTAAACCCTAAACCCTAAACTGTATGGGGTGGATCTTCTCACGTGTAAAAAAAACAGGGCGCCGCTACGGAGCTCAGAAATATAGGGGCCCGAAGGAGGTCATGGGGCCCCATGTTTAGGGTTTAGGGCTTAAGGTTCGTCTGAGAGGTACCCAAATCTGTGCCATCTGGTACATGACATCCCTCACGAATCCCACCTTGAGCCAAATCAAAACAGCCAGCATGAATCTCACGGATGCTGAACCTAAACCCTATCTATATGTGTGTATATATATACATACATTACGGTAACTTAATTTAAGTTCCTTAACAGCAACCCAGGTTCAAACAAGACATCTTGCACCAAGGACCGTAATGTGTGGGGTATGCGGCGCTTTGGGTGGTGCAGGATCCCTTCCAATGAACCACATAACGTCTAGAGTTCAGGGTTTAGGGTTTAGGGTTTGGGGTCCTCTGGGCTTGCAGCTTTTCATGTGAAAAACAGATCTGCGAATCTTCGCGCGACCGCTGATCGCATTCGGGTTCTCTGGATCCACACCTCCGGTGGAAGAACCCTGGGAACCAAGCATGCAGTTCTCTTCTGCAACTTGGCAAACTGCCTTACTGGTTCTTCATAAGGAATCAGGGAATAAAATCCTTACATGATCACGGTATCATAAATTCCCTCATTCCTTACCAACCCCCAGTAGGAAACCGTGGAAACAGGTCTGAGGCAAGGCGCGCATTGGCCGACAATTTCTGGTTCGGTCAGTGCGCTGCTTGCTCATGCCAGGGAAGACCAAGGCAACTTCACACAGGGGCCCGGTACCCTATACCAGACTTATATAATGAATGTAAGTTTGGGGTTTAGGGCTTAGGGTTTTAGAATTCAGGATTTAGGCTTCAGGGCGTATGGGCTGTGCCAGACTTACACAAAACAACCTAGAATCATAATATTGATAATTCTTCCCCAAATCCTAAACCCTGTCCCCTGTGGCATGCCAGCATCGTCCATTTTCTTGTCCATTTGATTCTCCGTTATGGGGGATAACATCCCTATATATGTATATGATATATGTATATATCAAATATGTATAGATATATATCTTATATATATATATACGTGCAACTATTCCTGAACCCTATTTGGGCCCGTTAATCCCCTTTAAGGGACACCATATTTTGAAAACCCCAAACCCTAAACCCCCTTTAGGCCCCCACAATCCCTTAACTCTAAACCTAAACACCTATCTGTATATACATATGAATCTATATTTCGGCCCCTACAATCCCTAAACCCTAAACCCTTTTCAGGCCCCAACAGTACACAAAGCTACGAGGCGTCTATATAAACCCCAACCCCTATCTATCTATTTAATATATATATATATCTATCTATATCAGATCAGCCCCGACAATAACCCTAAACCATAAACCCTAAGCCCTAAACCCTAGACCCTGAACTCATATGTAAATAACCCTATTCAGGCACCTTACAGTACACAAAGGCTACGAGGCATCTATATACACCCTAAACCTCTTTCTATCTATATATATAGAAATACATATCTATCTATCTGTTATCTATCTATCTATCTATCTATATTCGGCCCCTAGAATACACAAAGCTGCGAGGCATCAGCCATCTTCCGACATCTGGGATGGTCCCAGGCCTCGCCTTAGCCCGTGGGTTTCTTACCTACGGTTTCATAAGGCTTGTGAGGGTTTCTAGGGTTTGGGGTTTTAGGGTTTAGGGTTTTAAGGCTTAAGGGTTTTAGGATTTTTTAATGGTGTTAAGGCTCTAGGGTTTGTAGGGCTTTTAAAGTTTTTAGCCTCTAAGTGGTGTTTTTCCCTACGGCTTCAATTTTCTGATCTAATCGTTTTTTATAACCTTGTATCTATAACCCTGAAGGATTTAGGGTTCCCAAGGTTTCTAGGGCTTAGGGTTTGGTTTTTAGGGTGTCGGGTTTTGGGTTCAGGGTTCAACCCTAAGTGCTCTTTAAGGGGCGAAATATCAGGGCCACTGGGATATGTTTAGGGGCCCTGGAAATGCAATCCGTATGGAATATATAGGGAACGTGGCCTCATATCGTCCATAACATTTCAAAATTATTCCCGGGAACATCCCAGGGAACCGATGCAGAATAGTAAGTGGGGTAATAAGGCAGAAACCCCCTGAAAATTGAACTTCAAGCCTCCCTAGCTTAAGTGATAATAAACTCAAAAAACTAGAATCCCAAGAGCCAGGCTGAAGCAGAATTACAGCCAAAGGGGCTTAGAGTTTAGGGTAAGAACTCGCAGCCCTAAACCCCAGACCCCAAACCCTGAAGCCAGCCAAGTCTCCATAGGCGCTGATGAGGTCTGTCACTGCAGTAAAAGCGTCGTGCAACTCCGCAGTGTCGATGCTTCCGTACTCCTCGCCCAAGAAATCCAACACATCGGGAAAGTCCTTGAAAAGTCAAGGGTTTGGGGTTTAGAATTTAGGGTTTACGGTTTAGGGTTCAGGGCTTAGGGGCTAAAGGTTGTTAGCATTCAGGGCATAGGGGTTTGGATTCAAGGTTTAGGACGTAAAGGTCTAGGGTCTTTCAGGCTGTTGGAATACAATTTGCAAGGACCCATATAGATCGGGTCACAGTATTCATAGATTCATTCATACAACGTGAAATCAAATTGTGGTTAGTAGGAAACGAAGGAGTGCAATGTAGGGATGATTCTTCCTCCATTCCTCACTAGCCACCTGTCAAGGAAATGCTAAACCCTGATTGCCCCCTGACTCCTCGCCCTTGGGCACGAAACTTCCCAACAGCTTTTGCAGCGTCTTGGCGGGAACAACCATGGTCTCTCCTTCAAATCCGTCGACGCCTGGGTTGCTGTTAAGGAACGGAAACTAAGTTAACACAATAAGGGTATATGATAAAAAGTAGGGTTTCCTTCTTCTAGTAACTTACTTTAACGTAAACTAAGAAACTAAGTTAACATAATAAGGGTATATGATAACAAAAAAGTAGGGTTTCCTTATTCTAGTAACTTACTTTAAAGCTCCTTAACACCCAGACGCTAGGAAGAAGCCGCTCTGTTAGAGGCTTGAAGTCTTTGTCCGTCAAGAAGAAGGGAGACACAGGGTTGACCTTAATTGGGTTCATGTACTCGGTGAGTAACCCCACTCATAATTGGGGTAACCTGCCCAAGTACAGTTAGGGGGATTATAAGTAGGGTGAAAGCCCAGCTGTAACTGAATACGAAGTGCCCATGGACCTTCAGGTAGTAGGAACGCAGGAACCGAATTCATAGATTGCAGCTGGTGGTTATACCGGGAACACTTACCGGATCCCTACTAAACTCGAGACCCGCAACCCTAAGTTGTATAACAATGTCCTTTTTCCTGTCCACCCCCGCCATGTGCTTCTCTATGTCCATACTAATTTCCTCTCCTAATAACAAACCTCCCAATCCCCTGGTGATAAACCCCCCCCAGCATAAGATTAGGGGGAACATTTGTTTCCATTTTCTTCTCCATTCCCTGCATACCCCTCTAAGAACCAGCAAGTAACTGCATTGAACTTCTGCGGCGGCAACTCACGCAGTTTGGTGCCAATGGTCAATGCCTTACCAGTGCTTGAGGAGAAGTACCAATATGGGAGTTACGACTTGGGGCTTTGGAGCTTTTGATTTTAGGGTTTGGGGGTGTGAAGGGTTTGGGACTCGAGGTCTAGGATGGGGGTAAGTATGGGATTAATTAGCGGAAGACATGCGGGATTATGTAGGACGCATGCCAGGGATTCATTCCCCCGCCCCTGAACCCTCAAAGTTATAGTAGTTTCCATCTTTCCTGTCCCCCTTGGGATATTAGGATTCTGTTCCCAAATGGCCTGTATGGCCTGTATGGCAAATAAGTTTCCCCCGTATTGCCTTTTCATAGACCAACAGGATCCCTCAAGATTTTTTTGGCTGGAGCTTAGATCAAACCCCATGTCAGTAGCTTAAAGGAATATAATCCTTTTATAGTAAATTTCCTTCTTCCCTAGCAACCCTCAACCCTAAACCCCCAAACCCCTAGACCCTAAATCCTAAACCCCCAAACCCCTTAACCCTAAACACAACATATATTCCCTTATTCCCTAGAACCCCCCCCCCATGTCAGCAAGGGTACATACACACATACATACATACATACATACATACATACATACATACATACGGATTCCCATGTTCCCTGCTAAACCCCCCATGTCAGTAAGGTGCTGGTGCAATGAGCTCCCCATCCTCAAGTTCCTGGCCGAGAGCACTGGCGAGTGTCGCCTCGCTAGTGGAACAGAAAATTCAATTAAATCCTATGTTAGCGTTCAGGTTCGGTGTAGGGGTTTAGGGTTTAAGGGTTCGGGGTTTAGGGCTCAGGGGTTTAGGGGTTTAGGGGTTGGGGTTTAAGGTTTAGCTCTTGGGGCCTCTGAAAAAAGGTTAAAGGTGTTCTGAAAGGATATACATGGACATATTGTTTCGGGGTAAATTTCGGGGGTTGTTCGTGGGGAATGGAGAAGCACATGGAAAGCAGATGGAAAAAGAAATGGAACATGGAACTTTGCGGGTGTATGGTAAACTTGCTAGTGTTAGGATTGGAAAACTGGATCCCTGTTTGAGGGCTTAGGGTGGGTTTAGCTTTTAGGCTATGAGTTTAAGATTTAGGGTATATATAGGGTTCAGAGTTTAAGGTTATAGTCCCCCTTAAGTAGATAGAATATGGGGAATATGGGTTATATGGGGATCCTACTACAATATATCCAAAGCCATATTCTATCTACTTAAGGGGGACTGTAGGGCTTGGAGTTCCGAGCTTCGGGTTGAAGCTTTCGAGTTTGGGTGTAGGATTGAATGGGGTCTGTGTGCTATCCCCAAGATTACGGAACAACACTGCTCCATACCCTGAATCCTGAATCCTAAACCTGAAACCCTAACCCTGAGCACTGAATCCTAAACTTTAAGCCCTAAACCCGAAATATGATAAGTCACGCAGAGCAGGCGGGGACTCCCTAAGAGCTGGTACTTCAAGATCCGGCCCACATCCTCAACGTCATACCTGGGGAGTTCTCCCAGAAGAGAGGAGAGCTTTGGGCTAGGGTTTAAGGTGTAGGGTTTAGGGTGGAGTTTGCAAAGGAGGTGGGGCCTGAGGAAGGGACGCGGGGATCGGGTCCCTTTGAGGGTTTCCATTCTCAAAAATCTGCCTCCTCTTCAGGACACCCTAAACCTGAAACCCTAAACCCTGAACCCGAAACCCTAAGCCTTAAACTCGAAACCCTAAACTGTGTGCCTCCTCTTCAGGAAGAAGTTGGCCACCTGCTCTGCCTCTACATGCGTGGCGAAGATCAACGCGTCCAAGATATCCACAAAGCACGGCAGGGCCAAGGGCATCCACTTGCTTTCCCCGAAGCTGGCGAAGTCCTCGTTGAGGACGAGCCCCCGAACCCCAAACCCTAATCAAATCTAAACCCGAAAACCCTAAACCGCAAACCCTGAACCTACACCCGAAACCCCTGAAGCTTAAACCCCTAAACCCGAAATCCCTCAAGCTTAAACCCGTAAATCCGAAATCTCTAAACCAATCAGACCCTTGAATAATATAGTAGTTTCCATTTTCTTTTCCATTATCCATATAGAACCCTAAACCCTTTAAACATATAGTCGTTTCCATTTTCTTTTCCATTATATAACCCTATATAACAGCTGGCAAGGTCCTTGTTGAAGACTACTGCCATGCCCAGCGCATCAAATCTCCTTCTTGGCTGTAACTTAGAGGCTTAAAGGATCCTCAAGATAAATTGAACATTCCATTGTTGGGGGGGGTTATGTTTTAGGTTTTAAGGTTCAGGGTTGAAGATTATGCCTTTGTTTTAAGGCTTTAGAATTTCAATGTTTATGGCTTTGGCCTTTAGCATTTCAATGTTTAGGGTCTAGGGCCTTAGAGTTTCAATGTTTCGGGTTCAGGGTTCAGGGATCAAGGTTTAGGGTTTAGGGTTCGGGGCTTGGGGTTTAGGGTACCGTCCAGCCTTTCAACGTCGCAGAGGAACGCGCAACAGTTCTTGGCAGGAGATCTGTACTCGCCTGGGCTGCAGCTCAAGAACTCTAAGCCCGCCCTAAACTCTAACACTTTACAGTAGTACTGTTGGTGGAGGAAATCTTGCACCGCCTTAAGTCCCTAAAGTCCTAGGAATTCCAGTAGTTTAGGGCCTCTAAGTGGTGCAAGATTTCATCCATCAACAGTATTAATACTCTTTATATCACTACCATTAGTATAAATATTTAGAAATCCTAAACCGTAAATCCTAAGCAATAAATTCCAGACCCTAAACCCTAACCCTTTATTGGGCTGCTGTTAAGGAACTTTTCAAAATTACTATATTGGGGAAAAACTATTGTTTACAATAGATTCTGGTAACTTAATAACTTAGTTTAGGTAACAGCAACCCAGTTTAAGGTTTAGGGGGTGGGTTTAGGCAATTAAGCTTTCCACTGTGCGGACACCGAAGTGCTTGACTGGCCCATTTTGAATTAGTACGTGCATCCGAGACCCTGAAACCACAACTGTCCTACCCAAGACGGTACAAATCCTCAAACCCCCGGCCACAAAATCTTCAATCAGATGTTGCACTTTTTGGCTCCATGGTCTCTATGCTGCGAAGAACCCTACATCTTAAACTAAACCCTCAACCCTACAATCCAAACCCTACGTCCTGCTGCACCTTGAACCCCAACACCCTAAAGCCCGTCGCCCCAGAACCCTACGCCTTAGACCCCTACGCCCTAACCCTTACCATTTAAAACCTACCCCCAAAACCCTAGACCCTACACCCTGAAATTACATGACCCCTTAACCAATAAGGTAATGTCTGCTGCCCCTATCCCTAGAATCAGAGCCCTATACCTATCATATGAATGTTTAGGGTATAAGGTTTTGGGTCCCAGTTAGGGATTGGGATTACTAGAGCCCCTTCCTGCCCAGGAAACCCTACATAACCCCAGATTCAAGTTCATGTTCCATCATATTGATTCTCCACGCTTGGGACAGGAGTGATACCCCATCACCCTCAGAAGCCCCCTAGAACCCCCTGAAAGGGACCTAGGGTTTTTACGAAATCCTACACCCTAAACCCGAAAGCCTACATCCCCTACATCCCCTCTAGCCCCCTCTTGAAGGGACCGTACTATTCATAGCCCTTGTTAACAAATCTTACCCAGACCCCCAAGATGATCAAAAAGTTTAGATCCCCAAAAATTAGGGCTTAGGGTTTAGGGCCCTATGCAAAACTCTATAGGGGTTTTCGCATGGGCACATATTTCATGTGTAAATCCTCCCAGGGGTTTAAGGTTCAGGTTTAGAGGGAAATCTCATAAGAGTTTTAGTATTGGCCCGTAATCAATGTTTAAAGCCTTTCAAGGGCTCAATTTAAGTTTCAGGGTTTGGAGTTCAGGGTTTAGGGTCTACGTTTCAGGGTTTAGGGCTTAAGGTTCAGAGTTTAGAGTTTAGGGTTCAGGGTCCAGGGTTTAGATCAACAAGCCAGGGTTTTAAGTATTGTTCAATATACCAAAACCTAAACCCCTAAACCCCA